GACTGCCCATCTGAAAGGGGCCTAAGTGATTAAATGAGCATTTGAAATTGCTTAAAAACCTTAATATCACTTTAAGGAATGCTCTTTAATTGTGCAAAGGATTACCCAGCCAACTCAATAATGGTTTTCTTATTACATCCTAAACAGGAAATGAATCTAGACAGACAGTACAGGCTGGTAAATTATAATTAAACCATTCAGTAAAAGGACAGCTGGGTCCATTTATTTTTTAAATTTTAACACCAAACAAGTCGTCTTCATGCTGTAATTTTTATATTCTAAGACTAAACATTTGTAACAGTTACTTTGATCCTTATACTTGCTTTAATTTACCAGACAAAGCTAAACTTTGTGGGTAGAATTTGCAATTATAGAGGGTCTCCGTGATTCTTTTGTGGGCCTAGTGATGTCACAAACAATTAGTCTATTCCAATGGGCAAGGCTGAGCTAAGATTATATAAAATGAACAATCACCTTTAGCAACCAATAAAAAATCACCAGGTATCAGTTTAGAGCAATCGTAGCAAAAAAAGGCAATTTCAGTTAGGTCACTAGGGGTTACTGCGCTCTGCTCATTTGAATTAGCCATACTTTGGTAATTTGCATTCTAATTAATAGTTATTTAACCACTCAAAACCATGTATGGGAACCTTTATTTATGATCCAGCTCCTGTGATGATCCAAAGCATCTGAAGAATTCTCACTGCACTCATTCCAGAGGCTCGCTGGGCATTTTGAATAGTCTGAATATCAGCCTCATGTCTATAATTTCCTCCAATACTTCCCAGTCATGAGCTGTAAATCACTAAAGCTTATCTGCAAAGCCGTGCAGTCATTCCATTGCTCAGCTTATTGGGTGTTTGGAAAAGATTATCTAAATCATTCCTAATGCCTAACTACTGCTGTGCAAATTATCTCTTATTACTTAGACCTCTCTCCCTCCTGCTAGCATGGACCCAGGCTAAAATGTAGAGTTTTTCGTCAGCCTTCCTTTGCCTCCTCGTTTATTTTGTTCATTGATTGCTATGCTAAGTGCAGTTAGATTACACCCAGAAAGAAAAGGAAGCAAACTCCCAATAATTTTGCTAGGTCAGACTTTCCTTGGTGACACTGATGCACTGTGCCACTGACTAGCTGTATCCAATCCAATTTTAATAGATAAATCCTTACATGGCTTTAAAGTCACATGCACATGGCTGGAAAAAAATGCACATTGCTTTTTATTTACAGATTGGAAAGCAGGTGTATTGTTTTCAATGGGGACATGCACACAGATGCGTAAACATGCGCTGCGTTCAGGTCCGTAACACAAAATAGATAAATCTGCATACGGGTACAAAAATGCTGTGCCCATATGTATGTAAACACATGCGTACGCAAATAAATGAAGTCCAAACAATTAAATTACATTGAAAACAGAGCAAGGAATGGAATGAGAATTTTATGCATATGTGATTATGCATCTAAATGCCTCTAAATACAAGCGGCGGAAACTGATTATTTTTGCCAGAACTTTTGGGCCAGAAAAAAAGCTTGCATATATGTATAGTACATTTCTTATAGTCATGTGCATGTACAGAATATCATTATTATGATTATGATGATAATTATTATTCATAATAATATTCATGTAAGAATACAAATAAAGTTCTGGCAGAGCTGTATTGTGTATGACGCCAATGATAACACTGCATTGTGGCCTAAATAGAAAATACGTACAGTCTGTAACATTTTATTGTTTTATTGAAGCAACACATGCAGCACCCTGAATCTCATATCAGCCCACAACATGGGAGTGATTTACCAAAGGAATAAAGATGTTTTGCTTTGCCAAGCACGTGTTTCCATTGTAAAGTGAATGTTGATTTTGTGAATAAGTTGAAGCTGTGTTTACTTCAATCATCCAATCATATACAACCAAACATTTTATTTTCATTTCCCTTGCACATGAATGGGCACTCAGAGTGAACACAGCTTCAGCTTATTTGCTAAACTATGTGAACATGCACTTTGCTAAGTGAATATGAACATTGCAAAGTGAGTAGCCTCTGCTCTTAGTAAATCAATGCCAATGACACTTTGACTGGCAGTGTGGGTTTAATTATACATTACTAATAATCATCATCATCATCCTAATGATAGGAAAAGCACTGAAATAATATTACCAATATGCATATCCAAGTCTATGTGGTGTTGTATTTGTTTGATTTATGTGGTGTTATCTGGCTTCTCTAAAAAATATTACTGATTTCTAAATTTAATCTGAAAATTGCTCAAACAGTTTATAAACATAATATTATTCTGTGTTAAAATATATAGTAATATAGCAATTTATAGTAAATAGGTATCACGTTAACATTTCAGATTTACATAAGGAGAACAATTGGATTAATATAATGCTTCATTGGTGATTTTAATTTAAAGAGTGTGTGTGCAGGTAAGACCTTTAAAATGTGATTTTTCTTCTTAAATGTTGTAAGATAACATGTCCAGTTTGTGAGGTGAAATCCCATTCATCTTGAAAAGTGATCACACAATACTAGGAGCTGTAGTGTGTTTAGGAGAAAGGTTAGCGATTAGTTAGCCTCTGGTCTTAAATAGTAGCCATTTGCTGGGAAAGGAGGGACTGAGGATGGAAGAAGGGCCTCTGTGTGTTAGAGGATAAAGGAACCCCTGACACAAGCATTTCTCAAAATGGCGGCAGGAGCCGTGCTTTCTTCCTATTCCCAGAGATGGGTGTCTATTGAAGAAAGAGACTGGAATTTTTGAAGCCATCTGTGACATGCAAGATGTCCATGACTGGGGAAAGGCTGTGGTGGTTTCTTTAGCCATGCACTGCAGTGATGGCAAAGAATTCTACATCTCTCAGCCCAGTAATCCAACGATTTGAGTACCTTATTCTCCCAGATTTGATAGGGTTAAACTGAGGCTGTGAATCCTGAGGTTTTCCTGAGCAATCCAATAAAATAAATCAATGTTTTCTTTTTCTTTTCTTAACACAGTTTGAATTGATTTGCTTCTGGTTGAGAGGCACTTTATGTCCTAAGCACTTGCACTGCAGCCTAGTGTAGGGCCATTAAATACTAGTGCAATATGTTTTAAGGTATCTCCTACGTGAATACACTCTGCTTAAATAGTACATCTCTCTGTAAGTAATGTAGCAGGGGCTCATTGCTGCAAACCACAAAAAGGAGGTATAGCTTGATCTAGAAACAAACAGGCTTTGGGCCATATCACTGCACAACACCACACTGCTGCACTACAAAGGGTGATTAATTGGTATTCTAACAAAGCAGGTATTTAAAAATGTTTGTTTATTGTCATATTTTGCAAGTATGGATTGGAAACCACATTTGTGGTTGGGAGAGTATAGTTAATCAATTGGCTGAAAGGGAGGGCTGCTCTCCCACACACTGCATTCTTTGCCCTTGTAGTGTGTAGGATGTTGTTGTTCAGTACATGGCTCAGATGCTGAGATGAGCTTACTGAGCCTTTCACAGCGTTGGAACCAGCAGATTTAACCATGTCCCTGCCACTCCAAGGAGGACTGCCAGGCCGGCTGGTCCCTCTAGCAGAGTTGGGTGTTTTAATTAGCTTCAAAATCAGGACACCGCGTTGCATTCTACCTGGCACATAAGCTGCCTGCATACACTTAACCTAATTACATACTTCCCAATGCTAATGCATATAATAAAGAAACAGATATTTCACATAATTGTAAATTCCACTTTATTGGGATAATTTAATGCGTTGCAACTGTACAGTGTGTTTTCTTTGCTCTCCCTGCAGCTTGAACTTAATCAGAAAACAATAAACAGCTCTTACTGGGGGCTCATTTGGTGGTTTTTGGAGTGCTCATTGCCTATGTATTCTTGTGTGTAGAACACGAGGGGTCAGATATTCGCTGGCCGGGAATCTGATCTCCTTTCACGGCTAGGAGTAGGAGTTATGTTAGTTTGCCAAACAAACAGGAATGCGTAGGAAGAGGATTGCTTTGAGTACAAAATAATGAATCTTAGTGGGCTGTTCAATTATCTCAACCTCCCTTATAAAGCAATACATTGCGAGTCAACTGTCACCAGAGATCAGCCAATGTCATAAATAAAATAAATCATTTGTATAACTATTATTATTATTATTATATTAACCCTACATAATACTGTAGATCATACCCTGTAAACGAAATTTCATTGTTTAAAAAAAGCCCTTCCCAAGAATGTTTTGATCAACTTGAAAACACTGGGCTACTGATGTTTTTTTTTTACATGGTGATTGTCGTTTTTGTTTTTTTTTTCTTTTTTTTCCTCCTTTTTTCTGCTTTTTCTCTAAAATTGTTACACTTTGAATTCCAAATGTACATCTAATATACAAATTGTCCTTTAAGAATAACAATGAAAGCCACACAAACTATGAACCAAGCAGACATGTGAAGAGGTGGTACTGTAGACACGTAAAAATTTAAAAAGACTCCTCACAGATTTTTTTAAAAATAAAATATTAACTATCAAGACATTTGATTGTGGCTTTGACAAAAAAAAAGCATGGTCCTATTATGCAGCTTGCATTTGGGCAATAGAAAAAAAATTTCACTTTCTAGTTGACTGGACTACTGAAACAGATACACTACAGTTCAGATATATTTTTTATTCTAAATACTGCTGGAATGGTACTAGACAATTAAAAAAAATAACTTTTCAAAATGTAAAATGCCCATTGTGAAACACTGTCCCTACAAACACCAGTCACTATTGTTCAGGATTACATTTCCATCTAGTACACACCGTAAATGCAAAGAGGTGGCAAGGTGACCACAATGGACGTAAATCATTCTTCCAAGTTATTCTCGGCAAAATTCACTTATTCACATAAATACATTAAGACGAGGATAAATAATGGCTAAAAAATAATAACAAAGAAATGTTTGCTCAAGATATAATAAAATAAATACATGTTACTTATTTGCATTTCCGACATCACAAAAATATTCATAAATAATAAGCAAAAAAAAAAAAAGTTCATATGCAAGTCACGTCCCCTTCATATCCATTTGGTCAAAAAAAAAAAAAAAACTTTTGCATGACACTGGCTAATACTAAATTCTAGCAGACTTACCTTCAAGTACATCATTAAATGTTTTTTGTTTTTTTTTTTGTGCCTTGCTTCGCAGTTATTGCACTGTCATGCTTATAAGACTAGGGTCCCTTTTCCTAGAACTATACGAGTCGCTGAAAGGAATAGAGCTGCTTTAGGGTAGACCATTCCTTTAAGCTGTTGGCACTCAGAATAATAAGATACATTAACAATTTCTTTCAGAAAAAAGTGAGGTAATTTAAAAGGAGTTACAGTTAGCTTCTCTTTCTCTCTCCCTGTCTGGAAGTCGCACTTGTAGTTACAAATGTGTCAGTTTGGGAGCTTCTTGCATCCTTCCCTGAGTCGTGTGATGAGAAGTTAGGTCTGTGTATGTGGGATGGGGGTCACAAGGTCCATGGTGATGGTTGCCTGGAATCTGTGCAGCGCAGCTGTAGTCCACACTGGCAGATGACGGGTGAGAAAGATGACCGACATTAAACATAGGACCAGAAGCTGGCATGGAATCAACAAAGTTCCCTCCAACATAAACAGGGCTGCCCTGCAAATTGGGATTGACAAAGCCGCTGTTGCTCTGCATGGTGTGATGGTCATACTCTGCACCAGGGTATCTTTTCTGCTGGGGCAAACAGCTGCTCAAAGGGGCTGTGTAGGCAGCCAGCCCGTACATGTTTTGCTGGGATTTGGCAAACGATGTTGGCGACGGGGCGTCGTAGCTGAGGCTATTAACGGTGGGCAGTTGGCTAGAATATCCGACGTGGCTGGAGCCACTTAGTGTTGGGCTGCGGTCTGGAGACTGGCCCCCTGGAGAGTGCATGATCCCCTTGGCTTTCTGGTCCTTCTTGTACTTCATTCTTCGGTTCTGGAACCAGATCTTGATCTGGCGCTCCGTCAGGTTCAGCAGGTTGGCCATTTCCACCCTGCGTGGGCGACACAGGTAGCGGTTGAAGTGGAATTCTTTTTCCAGTTCCACCAGTTGGGCGCTGGTGTACGCGGTCCGCACTCTCTTGGAAGCAGGGCCGGTGGGGCTCTTTTCCTCACAGTTGTCTCCTGGAATGGAAATAAAGGCACAAAGTTACGATTTGAACGCATAGATACATAAAACATACAGAAGTTCGGTTCACAACACCCCATACACATTTAGCTGGTGCCACAGAGATGCTGCTGTGGTGTCCCTTCAACTATGTGCATTGTGTAAGTACAAAGTTAATGGTTAACCGTATTGAATCATCTATCATGGATCATCTTCAACCATCTCCCAACTTTAAGCACGAACAGAGCCTTTACAAATTGAGGATGGGGGTATAATGATACGTTTATGGGTAATTTTATGTTCAGTTGGACCAGAGAAGGTTTCAGCTGCAATCATTTCAAATATACTGACTATTAAGAACTGAAACTGGAGGATTTTAGAATATAAAGGGCATTCCTGTGACCAAAATGTCTGCTTATTTTCTACCTTCATTATACAGTGTAATATATTTAAACTCACAATATAAAATATATAGACATCTATATATAGATCTATATATAGATCTATATATTAGGCCTGATGAGTAGCTATGCACACACATTGTAGAAATACATAAGTCTACCATCTGTCTTCTAAATCAAATGGGTTTCATCACTGCCTCTCTGACACTCTCCCACATGCCATACATTTTTCCACATTTTAGAATGCATAGAAGGCCAATTGATGTCTCAAATGTAAGGCTAGTGCTTAGGGTCTGCCCAGTAGTAAGTGCTGTTATCTGTATGTAGAGATTCAGAATTGCTGGGTATCTGACCTGACTATTCTGTTGAGGTACCATGTGATATTTACATTTTGTTCTTATCATGGAAAGAACTGTAATGCATGCAGATATAAGGTCTATACAATTTGTGGTTTCCATCATACAAATTCCTCAAAGAATTCAGTCGCCATTCATCTATTACAATACATATGTAGGGAACTTTAACATTATCATTAGCAAGTTGTAAAAGAGAATGGGTTATTCTGTGGTTTGTTGAAACCAGCTTGAGTTGATCACAATCCATCACAACAAAAATATCAGTCTCCCCTGCACTGGGCCTAGAGGTTCCTTTTTTTTTTGGCCACTTCATAGAACAGTCTATGAAACAGAGAAATATACCTGGAGGGGTGCTGGAATTTTTCTGCTTTGTATTTTGTCTCGATTCCTTCATCCATGGGAAGATCTGCTTACTCATGGTACCCTGGGAGGAGTTGGATGCATTGGAGGATTTGCTTTTTTTCTGTGTTGAGGTATTGCCATGGCTGGGTGAGGATGGTGGTAAAGATGGAGCTTGGTGAGGCTGGTCATTCATATTGGTTGTCTGGCTGGCATTTTGATTAGAAGATGTCCTCATGCAGCTGCCACTTATATCACTAGTCTTATGGTTTGGGGGCCTGATAGCAGATGGTTGGATTGAACAAGCTGAGCTTGGATAATCATTCTCTAGACTGGACTGGGAGTAAGGCTGGTGACTGGAGTTGTAGCTATAGGACTCAGGCTTGGCATATGTGTAACCACTGAAAAGTCCAGAGTTCTCATAGTAAGCTGTTTTCTGCATCCTGCTTTCTCTCAGTGATAGGGAGCTCACACCCTTATCAATGAGCATGGACCTCTTCTGTCACTTTTTCGTCCACCCCTAAGGATAAAAAGTACATTTTGTTACCAATTAAATCTGTAAAATAAAGTAAACAAATTACAAGCTCATGAACATTGAAACATTGGGGTAATAATCAATTGGGCAAAGCATGCAGAAAAAGTCTAGTAAGCTTAGCATCCCTTGAAACAGATTTGCCTGCAGTGTGCTGTGTGCACAGGAACATAGGTTCTAAGTGTAGCTCTAAATGTATTGGGGTTGATTACTAAAGCAGTAGAGTAGAGTATTAAATAAGGTGCACATGGATTTTTTGCTTGCACACAATTGGTCCTGGTTCTACTTCTATAGTAACTCAGTATTTTTGTGTGACATGAAAGTCTCATAAAGAAACAAATTTGGGGCAAATTTTTATTTTTTATATATGGCATACAAATGTATACAACCTTAATACAACAAGAACATTTTTAGCTGTAGTTACATCAATTAATATTCATACAGTGAGAGGACATACACAAATATGCTTGGAGTGCAACTAAACAATAATAAGTGACTTGACTTGGCTGTTGTACATCCCACATAAATGCTCACAGTACTGAGCTTACTACTATATATAGGCCTAGGGTTGTTTAATTACATAACCAAACAGTGCGGCCAGCTAGGCCTTTTCATTCTATTAGCTTTTCTGTGTTTTACTCCATGAAAAGTTTTATTTTCTGACAGGAAATCCTGCAATGGCAAACTGGAAGTGTTATGTGTACACACACTGCTCTGGATAAAATGGATTTGCTTGGGGTATTAATATGTTTCCCTCTGTCTTTCAACAGCTATTAAATCCCTTTTCTCAAGGGTGACCAACAAGGCATCAATCTCTGGATGAAGATATGTTTTGTAATATTTTTAAAACGCTTAGACCTGACATGCCTAAAAATTTGGATAAAGATTAACTTGCCCCACCACCCTGCAGCCTGTGTGAGCTGTATATGCCATGATGGATTGAACTACATTCAGAACTTGAAAAACTTTGTCCTATGTCCTTTGTAAGCTGGGCCTTGTAACTCCTCCAGTTAAAATATAACTACTTCTATTCAACATCCTTGTGTTTGATCCACTTGAGGGGGGAAAAAACGCTATGTCAGCTTTTGTAAAATGTAATTATTTGATGCCTTTTATAAGAAATAGCAGCTAAACTGCATGTGTTGTGTATTTTCACTGCAAGGTATAGCAGTGCATGTTGTGACAGTAATTGTTTAAATAGTGGCACCATTGCCAATATCACAAGATTTATTATCTTGTCCATATTAGCATAACGACTGAAGAAAAATGGAAAGCAATTACACAAACAGTATAGTTTAATCAAATAAACTATAAAATATAATGAAAGTTGCACTTTGCATTATTAGTATATTTCATATAAATGATCAGAAGTGCAATTCAGCTTTTATTTAGTGTCTTTTTCAACCAGCTATTCCCTCCCACTTGGATTAATGACTAAATCTGCAAATAAGTCCACCAACTGTGTGTATTCCTGAAAGTTTTGTGTAGTAAGTACCCTGATCCACAACATTAAACTGATTATTGGCAACGTGGTGTTTAAGGTCATTGGATACAATTTGGCTTACAGTAAGAAGAAGAGAATGTAAACACTGTGGTCTGATGTGCAAAATAATACAGAAGGATATTATAAATGATCAGGGTGACATCATCTAGCCACCGTGGAATAAATTAAGCTGGACTTCAGTAGTGAATGGTATGAATTGATCATGTTGCTTGAAGACACTATCAGCTATAGATTGCTTTCTAGCACATTGTTCACAGCAGCACAACACACGACAAACAATCTACTGCGATTCTAGAATGCCTTATACATAGAATTATGTTTAGTAACAGCCTGCAAGAGGCTTATTCTTTTTCAGAAAGATCCAACTGTTTCTGAACTCTGCTTGAACCTAAATAAGAAGCAACGTGCAATAAATCACTTGGACAAAGGGCAAACGTATTGAGGTTCATCTCTTAACGGCACAAGAAAAGATATTCCAGAGCTGTTGTGTGTTAATGAAATACACATTGCTAAACATACAACAGAAACATACTAAGAAATATAATCTTTGTGTAGAAATGATAAATTATCTGATAAATGCTGATTTCATACAGACTGAAAGCTCTTTCAGGACTGAACCCCCTCTCTCGCCTCTATCCACAATGCCTTGGAGCACCATAGGGTGACAATATAAAATGCTATGTTTTATTTTACATTTAGCCAGGGGCTTCCATCTACCCCACTGCCATAAGTTCCATAGTTTTAAAGTTGCACAAACAACAAAGCAACATGTTAAAAAAAAAACTTGTTTATATAGCTTCTCTGCCTTAAGTTTGTTCCTTGTTACAAGCACACATTGCATGGCCCACGTTAAATAGAAATTGCATGCGCAAGCAGGCTTTTGATTATTAAGCAGGCAGTGTCCACACAGAGCATATCAATGCACCTGTCATTGGGGTTTGGAGAGAAATTTATGACTGCTGGGGTAGGGAAGGCTTCTGCGAGGAGGGGGACAACATCCCCAGAACTTTCACAAATGTAAAATAGGCCGAGCGTAGGAGGAAGACCAGAAAAGAATCCCCTACTCCGCAAATTTTTCCCTTTTACAAGCCTGTTGAGCAGAATTATAAAAGGTGGCCTGGGCAGTTTGTTCGGAGAACTTGCCTTTAGCAGGACGCGGACAAACCTCTGCCACCTTCTTATGGATTAAAAAAATGCGGATTTAAAAAAAAAGGGGAAAATCTGGAGGAAATTCTGGTCAAACTCTTCTTAAAGGAATAATTATTTTCTGGCTCTTGGAACACACATCATGGGAATGGTCACATCATAAAGTGGAGGATGTTGATACTATGTCACTGGTCTATTTGGATATATTTCCTCGGGATATCTCTGTTATCAGCAGCCTGCTCACTCGCTGAATAATCTGGGTTCACATGTGAATTATGGGAATATATATATAAAATGGGTTCTGTCTGGAGATTGTATCTACACATATTTGTAGACTCCGAACGTTCTACCATAAGATCCCTCAATGATCATTGCACACTGTGTTGCTGCAGATATTTATCATATTTCCTTGTCGTCCTATTAATGTTACGATCATCATTATATTATATGTTGGGTGATATTTATTATTATAGTGCTATAAATGATGTTTGCTGATTTATAGGTATGTGCATGTTCAATAATTTGCCATAGTAAATGTGTGTCCATTGTTATCCAGGAATTACTACGTTATAGACAAGATCAACTTATGATCCGCATATCTGAGGCAGGAAATACAAACTCCACCAAGCACAGCAAAGTGGAACATTATGGAACTTGTAGTTCCACCACTAATGGCAGGTTGGGGCTGTAGTTCCTCTAGAGCTGGGAAGAAATGCATCTTGCAGTTCTTCCATGGATAGTAGGGACTGAAGCGACTTGTTGTTCCTTACGGATATAAGGGAGGTGATGGGACAAGAGCTTGGAAGGCATGATGCAATTTGCAGTTCCTCCACAGCTAGCAGGAGGGCATGATGTCGCTTACAGTTGTTGCACAAAAAAAAATATGACGGTAAATGATGGGTCAAGTAGTTCCTGCACAGATGGGGGTGGCACCATTGGGCTTGCAGTTGCACCACAGAAAGAGGGGCATATAGGTTACCCAAAACCTCTTAAAAATACCTGCATGGTTCAGATTACGCATTTGGCTCCGTAATAGGTACATTATAATGGCTACTTACCGTTGTGCCCTCCTTGCTCAGGTTTTGTATCTGACCTTCTTGAGATAACGGCCTGTCCTATTCCTTCCGGTCCCAAACGAGCTGCAAAATATGAAAAATATGTGTATTATTGAGATTTATTTTTAACAGACATTATCTAAAAAAGATGAGGAGTAAAATCGGCTTAGTTGCACACAGTGCATTATCCTTCCCTTGCAAAAAAGAATTTCAGACCCTTGTTTGTCTATGAATGATATTCCATGTGCTCTAGCTATATACACAGATAGGATGACACTTATTTCCTATAAAACTGCCAATAGCCCTACAACATAGGAACTGTCCTAAACTATATCAAAGCATTTAACGACAATGTTATCCATACTGGTCATTTTATATGTCACCAGCAGTATTCATTCATATAGATTCTGAGCAAAAGAAGTGCAGATGAGAAACAGAAAAACGCTGATAGAACTCCAAATACATTATCATCCTGATATGAATGCATAATAACGGTCAAAATAGCCAACAGGCAATACATAAATATCAAGGCTTGCTCCTGTAATGTATCTTTCTATAACAATTTTAAATGTGTCGACTAAAGTCCTTCTATGGATCTCACACAAAGACAAGCTAGGCCACATAAGAGACAAATCTAGCTACCATAAGCCATTCCAATGACCTTTGGCTTGTATAGTAATAACTCACCGCTTAATGAACAACCAACTGAACAGCCCGCAGTAGCTCTGAGCAGAAGAACACTAACAACTTTCCTCCAAATCCTCATTATCACAGCCCAATCCCGCCATGAAGCAGCGATTTTCAAGGCTAAATGAGATTGTATGAAGAGCCGGGTGATACAGAGCAGCGCGATTGTACGGGGTACCTGGGACAAGGCAGGTCCAATATCATCTTATGTCATGTATTCGGTATTCACGTGACTCTCAGATTATCAATCCATAGAGTTTCTATTGTCAGATTGTGTATCTGTAGAGTTTCTATTGTAACCAGATGCGTTGCAAAAGAAGGAAAATTGTTGCGTTACTGCAGCGCTAAGGAGCGTTCTTGATCTTTCTACATCAAGTACAGATGTATGATCTGCTCCAAGGTAGGTATCTCCAGCTTACTCCATACTGAAGGAAATGTCGCAAGAATTGCGCCTATCTGTGGGCGCTAATGGGAATGAGATGTATGCATCTAAAAATCAGCATCAGGATCATTAGGAGTATGTGCAAGATGAGAAAAAAAATGAATGCTTTTTGATGACGCTAACGTGACAAAAAGAGGGCGATGTATTAAAGTTATCAGTGGTTTAAAACAAGTAGTGTGTTCATTACTGTGAATATTAATAACATTTTGGGGTTGTGGTGAAATGAAATGAAACGTTTCCTCACTAATGTGATTTACATGGCCTGGCATGAGCTGGAGGGCAAACAAAGGAGCAGAAATGGCCACTGACTTGAATAAAATGTTACAGGTAACCTCCCTCTCTCTTCCATATTAATGTGCAGGACTTTAAAGGTATGTACTGTGCCCTACAATTGGCTTATTCGGGTTGGAGGCCTTAAAAATGATTTTTCTTCGGCTGAGGCTTGTCTATAAAAGATCCATTAATTGTAAAGTGTAAGCGCTTTCTCAATGAATAGCCAAAATGGTGCATTTTCTTCAATAGCTGGGTGCCAAATTATCTGACACAACAGCAAAAGTTATGAAATAGAGGAAAAATAAGGAATATTTGGGTTGTTTTACACAAAAAAAAAAAAAGCATACGGACACAAGTATCTGGATGTGAGATTTGGGTTCAGCTAAAAACTAGATCAATTTTCAGGTAGGTCAAGCTTCCTAAACCTAGGTTACAAAGAATGCACATATAGAGAACACGCTGGGACATATTACATAATATTTAAAAGAAGTGGAAAAAGTAGAGAGTCATGTCAGGATTTAGTACAAGAATTCCAGTTCCTATGGATCTATGCCCTCTGTTATTCAGAACAGTTTTTGAGAAAATAAAGATATTATTGACAATTAATGCCAAATAAAAGTGTGAAAATATAAAAACGTAAGCATATATCACCTATATAAGTGCATACATGGCTTTGGAAAATCGTGCCTATAGAAGTGGCATTAACATTAAATTGACTGTAAATATACATAAATCAGCCTGTCTGTTCCAAGCCCAATAGCCCAAGACACTCTGTTAATGTGGTGTTCAATCTTACTTTGACAGAGGCAAAAGGAGAATTTATTTCAATGAGATCCATACCTAGTATAATATAATGTGTACCTATACATACCATGCATATATTTATAATGGTAACCCTCCAATGCAAATAAAATGGATAACGGCAATAATAAAGCAATTATCGTGCATTAATTGTACCGTTCATGAATGTACACTATATATACCTGGTCTAATAATGTCAAAATGTTTATTGGAACCCACATTGCTTTTTTCTTTTTCAAGTAAAGTCCCACATGCTTAAAAATACTGAAAACACAATAAATCTTTATAGCATAGCTTGATAAAGGCTCCATACAACGATTCGTTCAAAGGCTTCCGTTTGTCATGCAAGATCTTACCTGTGTATCAATTTATCATAAACCTGGCTTCTTCAGCCTCTGTGGCTGTATGTGCAGGAGCTATGATATATCCTTCACCCTTTGTCTGTGTGGAACAGTCTGTCCTAACCCTGATCTTGCGGTTTTGCAGACATTTCCACCTACAGTAGCAGAGCACAGTATTCCCGATAGAGTGGGGTGCAGGCTAGCACTCACCTACCAATTAAAGTGAGGGCAATGAACTTCTCATAATATTTAAATCCACCAGCGTGGCCAAATTAAGAGTGGGTCAATTGTATTTTTTATTTGAACGAGGCACCAAGTTCGGATTGATGATGTAAGTAAAGTGCCTTTATAATCACAAGTATAGGCACTGCCTTAAAATTTAAACCTATTTGTTCACGTGATCTCTATACCTTGCTACATACCCCCAGGCTGTGTTTTTTAACCTATATCATTCCAACCAGACCCAAATTTTGTTACAGTTCTCAGCTGTTCTGGCTTTCATTTGATGCCAAGATATATGGCATACCACATTATGTAGATTTTTCATGGATGTACCAGTATTATTTGCATAAAACAACCCAAATCTGCCCATTTCCTAAGAAAACAGCATGCTTTTTTACAAGAGTGTATTTGCAATGGGTTTACTTTAATAGTGGCTTAGTTCCGATGTACTGACAATATTTGTCATTATTGCACTATATTCCGATTTAATTACAGCAATAACAGGTAATAATAATTGAAAAAATGACATTACAGAATTAAAAAACGGATAAGAAAACGGATATTACATACAATACATTGTTTCTTCTTTGGTATCTGTTATCAATAAAGTATCATTTAAGAAATATCATCAATATATCACCCAATAAAAATATTTTGTTGACTGCTATTTCTTTGTTTTTTGTTTTTTGTTATGTATGGTTATCCAATAAATATATATTGATTTGCGCTTTGCATTTTTCTCGTCTTAAAAAGAATAATCTTGAACCGAGCAAATAAACATAAACAGAGTATAAGAAGCGTGCTCCTCTTATGTTACCCGGGATCAAAGACACTAATCATTTGGTAACATGTTTGCATTTTCATTTTGGTAAACTTAAATTAAGAACATAAGATGTACACAATATTATCAAACAGCACAGTCCAATGTAACCATATAGCAAAAAAAGTTACATTACAATGTGATTACACTAGACCAGGGTGGACTGTATACAAGAACAGCGTCCAGCTGAGTGAACGTGGAAAGAAAAAGAAATATATTTATATGTTATTTTTCTTTCCCGGTCGTGAGAATGTATCTTTAGTGTAATCTAATTCAAGGAGTGGATCCACAGCAAGTCAACCGCAGCATATGTTCATAGGGCAATAAAAGTGGGAGATTTACGGCTCTCGGCCGGCCCCCAGCAGACTAGCACCCTTTCAGGAATTACTTACTGTGATTTATAACAACAACTTGGGCAATTGTCAACTGATAAAACGTCCATTGCTACATCTAGGAAATAAATGCTATTAGTATAGACTCGATCATTTTTCCTAAACCCTGGCTTTCCTATATTTTACATTTACCCACTAAACTTCGTGTTTTGTTTTGTTTTTTTACATTTAATAAACAAAAATATGTACATGTTAAAAATATGCACCCTATTCTGTACAGTATTGGAATAAAGCGACAGTAAAGCATAATATTAATACAGTAACAGTACAGTATTAAATACACATACCAAGATGTACACAATTCAGGACAACAGAAGAAAAACATGAATATTTTAGGTACATTTCCAATGAGCCAAGCAACACCACCTATGCCAATCGGTGAATATTAACCTATTTACAAAAAAAATAAAATAAAAAGCAGATAGTGTCATAGTTGAATGTTAGTAAATAAGTAATAGGTTCCAACTGATGTCTCTCCACGTTCTACAGTGAGACACAGGCGGATCAGTAAATATCCATTTGCTGTTATAGATTGCTCCAAATGGTGGGGATAAATGGTCTTGTCCAGGCGAAAATTATCCATTTTAAGTGTAATAGTAATGACTATGGCGGAGTTTAAAGGCACACTCGGAAATCATTATGTGTTAACGCTTGCCTTGGGTAAAATTTCAGCTCTATGCTGTACCCATTCTATTATGACGCAAGATAAAATTTACGACCTAAGCCTGAAAAGAAGTTCAGGGCCCTTTCTCACTGTTTTAAGAATAGGCAGCAGATGCCCTGACAGTCAGTATTGTTCCCAAGAAAACCCAAGGCATCCACTAAATCTGAGCCATTTCAGCCCTCATACAAATCTAAGTAAATCCTTTCAATTCCCTTTACTGCCCAAGCTATCCCCAAGCAGAACTCAGAGAGCAGTTGCATACATCATCCTAATTTTCTTATAAACCCTAAGCATTCTGAAACAAAGGTCACTAAATCAGCCTATGTCGACTTGTGAGTACAGCAAGGAAGCAGCAAAGGCTCCTATTTATCAAAGATATGACAGCTAAGTTCTATTAGAAAATATCTGAGAGAAATAAAATAATCAAGACATACCCACCAAAGATCTCTTTTCTTCAGCTATCAAAGAGATAGTAGGAGTGCAGAGTATACAGACTGCTCTCTTTGTATATAATATTCTTGGGATCTCTTCAGTTTTCAAGTCTGATAGAGTCCTTTGCTTGGCAAATTAATGACGACGCTGTGTTTCTTAAGGGACGTGCTGAATTAATTATTTCGTGGATCACGTGGGTCAGGAGTTGAAGAAACCTATTCTTGGCATCTTCCATCCACTTTGATATTGAACATGTTAGGAACATTTCTAGAGCACCCTGTGCTGCCTCTGTGTTTACAAAATCAATGGGAAGCCTTGCAAGATGGCTGGAAACCTCTGAAGCTCTGCATTGAAAAATCCTGATTTACTGTACTGTACAGTGGGAGCTGTTTGCTATTGACTCAGCCTTCCCTTCATTCTTTTCATAACGACTAGTGGTGATATAATACACAGAATTTTATTGATGTATTGTTAGTAGCAGAGGAGGAGCCATTAGACAGCACACAGCCATATCTGCTACACACACTACATGCCTACTCAAAGTGCCATTCATTTCCAGTTTTTTTTTTCTTCAAATGTGCCCTATCACTTCTACTCTGGTACCCCTGAGTGGAGTTTGCTCATATTGTCTTTTTATTTATTCATTGAACCAAAGTTGAGCTGTACCCAATAAAGTTTGTGCATTGGTTTCTTCAGCACAGTATGTTCTACATAGTTATAAGAAGCTATGCAGGGCAGGTAGAGTCCCAGCTGACTTTACCCACGAACAAAGACATTCCAGTCTTACCTAAGGTGGGTACTCAATGCTGGTATATTGGATATTGTGGATGGGGGAGGGGGTGGGGGGTGCTGTGTGTGTGTGTGTGTTGGTGAAGGGGTGGTGTAAATATGCCTCTAAATAATAAATCTAGGCTTATAAGACATGGCTTCATTTGTATTAGTTAAATAACACACACACAAAAATGACAGTAGAAGTTGAAGAAACAAATTATATCAATTGCAGTAATATTGCAGTTCAAGCTATGCACCACATTAATTAAGTTTTAAGATGTCTTTATGTGTTTCATATTGTTACATGTATAAACAAACATATATAAAATATGTATACACATCCTTGCTTTGTATGTACTTACCTCATCCATGTACCAGTAAGCACACATCCATAGGTACATACATTCATCACACACAAAGCTCCACACATACATGTGTTCTCTGATTATACAGCCCCCTCCCCCCTCCCCCCTTCTTATATTTCATATTTGCAGTCAGAAGCGAGTATGCACATAGGGAAATTACATTTCAAATATGAAGAGAGGCATTGACATGAAATTGGATGGAGTCAGAACGGGTTTTTGCAGCTATTTTATCCATAACCAGAAATTCCCATTTAGCACCTATAATGCTGGGTGAGATCCCAAAACACAAAGACCAGGGCTTTTATACAATCACTAAGGAGGATTTATAGGGGAACTGTGTCTCAATTTTTGGTAGGATACAGTATTTGGCCCTTGCATTTATTTATACCCAGCTATCACCCTCTATTAGAAGATGTAATGCATATTTTTGAAAATACAGGATAATTATTAATTTGGCTTTGCGAATTGATACCTGGAGCAGCCAATGAGCCCATTCATACGACTGTGAAAAGTTGTACAAAGAGGGCTTATACAAATACTGAATGTAAAAGGCTCCTAGGTCTAAAATAGGGAGTTAAGGTCCGAAAGGTCAAGGGTTTAGAGGTCAGCTCTCCCGGCTGAAATACAACTAATCGCATAGAAAATTTGTCCTCCAGATGAACCTGCGAACCGAACTTCAGTAAAAAAAATACCTTTTCTCTCTCACAACGTGAAGCTACATCTTCCCACTATGAATTGTGTGCTTTTATTGTCATAGACACAATGGTCTTAATACATAGAAAAGCCATCTTTAATATCTGGACGTCTAGTCAACTATTGCTGTGTATAGCCTGAGAACAGGACCTCAGTCCAAGACAGAACAAAGAATACACTCTGCTTCTGGTTATGTTATCAGCCGTTAGACTGCGAATTCTAGTCATCCTAGATAAGAATTCCTAACATACTCCTTGTAAACTCAGCTTCCTGTCTTGTGCTTCTGTTTGCTTGACATATATTTTATTTCAGGGGATGCTAATATCAAGCATGTGATACCTATTTCAAAGATGGCCATTAACACCGTAATTTTTGTTTTCCCTCACACCATCAAATCTCAAACAAAAACAATTAAAAAAATATCATCAAACCAAATTCAGTGGTCGAATTTTTAAAGTGTAAGTTTATTTAAGAAAAAAAACGAAGAGTAAAAATGTATCTGCCATCACCTTTCTATTGTTTTGACCTGGGAAGAGTGTGACCTTCGTTTTACATTCCAATAAAATATGTATAACATTTTCACATAAAACCGTCACCTGAAAAAAGTATAGCATAAAATACATTTTTTTTTCTTTCTTATTTGAAGGATAAATATTTTTTTTTTTTACAATGGTCATTATTTTTTTTTTCCTACCGCACCTCTTGGAAGACTGAATCTACGAAGTGAAATACATTCAAATAACAGTTTTGTTTTAAGTGTGAACATACATTACCAACACAAAAATAATAATACAAAAAATATATGCTACAATGTAAATGTACATCTCTTGTCTCTGAGTTTTTTTGGGGTGGTGGGAATTCTCCCATAAAAATAACATTTTTTTTACACATTCCTCTTGTTTACTGAAAACCCAAAAGGACAGTAGCTACAAAATGTGATCAAACACATAAAACTATGTAATAGCCATTGTCATGTAACCTAATTCTAAAAACAGTCATAATTATGTACTCTTAAAAATGTGGAAGCCAGTATTTTCCCTCCATAAAAATTAATTCAGAAACATCTATCTTCCTGTCCTTCCTGAATATTTGGTATTGGAATATTTTTTTGTTATTTTTTATATTTTTTTAACATGTTAGATAGCTTCTTATTAAATAAATACGTGAATTAACTTTACAAATAAAATAACCCGTTTATTTTATACCCTTTTTTTGTATTTTGGTAGAGAGTGTTCCATACTGGCAGTAACAAAGAATAATAACGAAATAATGGCACAGGGTGCCCATATGGTCTCCACATTTATGCTTTAAGAAACCACTAACTTGCTCTCTCCCTCTCTCATTTCCTTGTTAACCCAATGCTGCCCTGTACAGTAAAACAACATACATACAGAATTGGAGTTTACCTAAGATACAATTCCACTGCTTTCTTTGTGATGTCTTCCTGATGTAAATAAACACAAAAAAATATGTTCATCAAACAGTGTCCAGAGCAATATACAAAGGAGACAGTCGAATTGTGGAAATGTCCAAGAAGGAATTATTGTAAGCTTGGTGCCAATAAGCGAGTTTGAGAGTCCTGTGAAATGGTATGAAAGCCACAGGCTTAAAATGCTGAATTTAGGAAGTACTGTCAATATTTTGGGCAATCACAGCTTGATAGGGAAGAATAAAAAGTTAGAAAAAAAAACGAATTTTTCTATAAAGAGGTCAAATCAGTCTGATGGTCCTTAGTAACAGTGTGCACGTTCTGAGAAGGAGCGGAGGAAGATCTTCCTTTTGTATTGGGCAGTTTGTGGTCTTTCTTCCATTTCATCCTTCTGTTCTGGAACCAGATTTTGATCTGGCGCTCAGAAAGGCACAAACTGTGGGCGATTTCTATCCTACGACGCCTGGTCAGGTACCTGTTAAAATGAAATTCTTTTTCCAGTTCCAGAACTTGCTGCCTGGTGTATGCTGTCCTGGATCGCTTGGGTTCCCCTCCGGTGTAATTTGGATTGACTGGGAAAAATAAAATAAAATAAGAGAAATTGTGTAAAAAATCTGCAGTTCACTGGTCAATACAAATAGTCACAAGAAAGAGAGAGAGAGAGAGAGAGAAACGTGCACTGCAGTCTTTACAATATATATGGATATCTGCTTAATTCATGCACACACGTTTAAGATGGAGTTTGGTACTGAGCTGAAAAAACAAAGCCACATGGCCAACGGCCTATTCCCTCAACCATAAAAATTTATGATGAGTGTAATGGCTTCCCAGGTTTAAAAGTCCATAAATAATATTTTCAGCAGCTTCCAAGTAAGCAGTGTTTGAGCAAATGCTGGGGCTTACCTGAGTTCACGTGGACTTTCTTCATCCAGGGGTACACTATGGCAGGCTGCTTGGAGAGGCTCCCATTTTTGGGGTGCTGCTGTTGAGTGCAGGGTCTGGAGACCGGGACAGGAGGTGGGCAGTGGTCCTCTGAAGCAGGGCAGTGGTTCTGTGGTCCGCTTTGGTCCTGCCCATGACCCCGAGGCTGCAATGCAGAGCCCTGTGCCTGGCTACAGCTGAAGGAGTCTTCGCTATAGTTTGGCCGGGAGTAGATTGCTTGGTGCTGATAGTCAGAGCCCTGCGGGGAGCTGTAGAATTCAGAGCCTTGCTCTGCTAGGTAGCTGTTCTGTAAATATTCCTCGCAAGGAGGAAATTTAGGATCCACATACTTAGAGTTTACCATATACGAACTCATGGCCATTAATTTCTGAGGATAGAAAATACTAATTTTTCTGGTGTTGTCTTTTTTCTGCCTCCATAAAGCCCTCCTACTTGCTGTCAACTGAATAAAGTTAGGTGGCCACGTGACCTCGCCAGCCAATCGCAGGGCAGAAACTTTATCACTGGATTTAATTGTACCTCATAATTTTCAGAAAATAACAAAATAATATTGATTTAATTGGATCATTATGAGAACACGCCCCCACTCTTTTCTTAATCACAGATTTTTAAGATACAATAAAAAAAAAAGGTTACGTGATTTATGTGAAATAGCTACATTTAGATAAACAAAAATCACTTGATATAATTTCTGTCAAATTCTGATTCCAATTTTTTCATTGCATTGATCTAAAATCTGATGTATGTTAAAGCTGAGAAACCCTATTTCATTCCTGCTAGAGTCCCATGGAAAAAAAAAAAAGAGATCTTAAATTGTCAGGAGAACATCAGGGGGACCATAACATGTACAATAGACCTGTCTTGGCTTTGTCTTACAAGGGGTCATCCAAAAGTTACCAGAATCTAGTCAGGTTGAAAAAATCAGGCAATCAGTAACTCGTGGTTGACTGTTTGCAGGCTGAAATTGGAAAATAATACAAGGGGGCAATAAAAAAATAAGTAGTTAATCTGCAAATACGACTATTTAAGACAGAAAGTTTTTACACCTCTGAAATATTTGATATTTAAAAGTAAATGGAGTAGTGTATTAATAGGTCCTTTGTGTGGAATTGAACTGCAAAGCTAGAGCTTATTGTTAGATGCATAGAAGATAATTATTGACAGTGAAAACAAATAAAATAAAAATAAATTAATGTGTGTGTGTGTGTGTGTGTGTGTGTGTGTGTGTGTGTGTGTGTCTGTGTGTCTGTGTGTCTGTGTGTGTAGTGGTAATAAAAAAGTAATTTTATAACTTTTATAACACAGCATGATCATAGAAGGCACATATAGTTTAAGCATGCAGAATTATTTTATGAGGTTGTACATTTTATTTTAACTATAATCCCTTTAACAGTAGATGGAATATTGATATGATCCACTATGAAAATGAATGACGGGATGGTCAATATCTATAGTAAAATCCCATCTTATTACCTCCCGTATAGTATGTTCATATTACATAATCTAGATGAGTCAAATCGAAGTTTTTGCATCGACCATATATTCCCCTAGAATCGAATCTGTGACTATGTGAACACCACACAAATTCGGTTCTACAGGGTACATATAGACAACGTAATAACAGTTCTTCTACCTAGTGTAAGTGTATGTGGTACTTATCACCTAGTGTCTGCAGGATAGTGTCATGACAGATGGAATAAGATCAGTAAAAATCAAACAAAATCAAACACTAGGACGTCAGAGAAAAAAAAAAAAGTTAACTGATATAACAAAAAAATGACTGTAACAAGAATGTAGCTATATGATGTATGCATGCATGAAGGTATCTATATATGGAAATGCCATGTATTATAACTATGATTTTACATTTGAATACAGCTGCTTTTTAATGTGCAAACCATTAAGACAGCAGCTAGGTTGTAAAAGTGTCAAACCTATACTGATTGCAGGTTTGATGACCAGATAACATCAGGTCCCTCAACACACCGCACCTACTCTGTATCGACAGGTCCAAGAAGAAGGTTCAGCTTGTAGGAGGATAAGTAAACAAATAAAATCACTGCTTGTATGCAATATGTTTCTTTTCCTGTACATAAAAACATAATCCCACATGACATCTGATGACTTCACAGGTCACCGAACCAAAATTCTTAAGAAGAACTGCAAGGTTCAAATGCAGCCACAACGTGCAAACATTACATGCTAAACAAATCGTTAGGTTTACAAATATAACACATTCTGTATTATAAGAACATAATTAGTTGAGAATAAAATAAATAAAACTATACAAAATGCAGGAAGGGTCAAGTATTACATACCAGTCAAGTTTCTTCTGAGAAACCAACCTTTGGACTATATTCAGAAATTAGTGTGGCAGCGTTTATGGTGAAGTCCAGGTCAAAAGGGCATTTGAAATCATTTGCAAACATATCACAAGGTTTCATTATTTTTACGTGGTCGACAGTCACACAGAGGAGTACAAAAGTTCACGATTTGTTCCTGACCCATGAGCAAACTTGCTGAGCTCCTCTGTGCTAAAACAGCTCCAAACCCAAGGAGACTGCTTTCACCATGTGCCCAACATTTTGAGTCCTCTGTAAAAGGTAAGTCCCCCTGTTATCACCTTCTACTAGATTATACATTGTAACAGCCACATTTTGTTTAATAACTTAATTTTTCTGAACAAAATAATTATATATTCAGTAATAATTCATTACTTTTTCATTTTAAATACATGTATAAATCCATGAAATTTACTATATTGACATCTGTCTTTTAAAATTATATTGATTTCTGTCAAACTGTGTACGCTTTTATTAGTCAAAAATGTTTTTTTTTTTTTTTTTAAAGGGATAAAAAAATGCACCTCAAATCTTAAAATAATGGATAGTATATACTAAATTCCATAAGTGTCCCTAAAAATGCATAACAAAATAAGTGTTAGTAAAGACAGAGATAGGATTTTGTTCACATTTTCATATTGGTTAGACGTTGTGACCTGGATTTCACCTTATCTCAAGACTTGCTCAGACAGGTCAAAGCCACAGTGTTATTGATGAACAAAAGCGTTAAATATTCACCTCCTGCTCAACCGCCCATAGAACTGTGTTTGATCTTTCCTTCTTTTTCTGTGGCCTGCTTCATACAAAAACTATATTCAGTGTGTATTATAAATGTACGAGAAATTAATGTTGGCGACATAAAAGCCATTAGATCTAAAAAAAAATATTTTTGGGGGCTTTAAGAAGCAGGAAGAGATATTGATGCTGGATTGCAAAAAAAATGACTGATTATAATTAGCATGATAATGCATCGGAGGATCATTTATTTAGTAGCAAAAATATCTCTTAAATAAGAAAATGAGTTGGTGGAAAGTCCTGTTTGAGGAGCTATTTCCATCTATGATCTTGCATGCACACCATTTACTAAAGCTCTTGCAGGCACACTACTTACTAAACTTAAATAAATAACCTCGGTCATTTCATATAAACAATATATTCTATTTAAATACATTGGGATAACCAAAGCATTAAACGACAAAGTAAAAAATAAAGATGTGGTAAATGTTTATATACTGAGTAATATCCGTATAAAACTCCATCAGCTACATCCAGAAACCGTTGATCTTATTAGAGAAAATTTCAAACACTTGACTGCTTGTCAACATGTAAGTCGGTAGTCACATGTAGACAATAAAATTAAACAACACAAGCCATCATCTATTCACAATAATGTACTACTCTGCATCTGTAGGCTACTGTACACCAATCCTTACTGTGGGAGGCGCCATACAGTACAACAAACCCAGAGGCAAAGACTTATAATTAAAGCAGAACCCAGCCAGCGAGACATCTGGAACATGTCCAGAACCAATAACATTCTGCAACTAGACTGGTTAGATTCTGCAAGAACACCCTCAAAATCATCAACATCATCATCTTCATCAACATCATCATCTTCAACATCATCATCGAGCCAATACTTCATACTAGCATAAGCAAATGTCATAGCAAATGATAATTATACAACCTAACTCACATACTCAAGTGTAGTCCAGAAATGTATGAATTAAAGAACGGATTTATTACAAGCAACATAACAAAACTTTTTTCTCAACAGTTATGCTAGAGTTAAAAACATTTCCCCAAATGTCTGCACATTAATACATTGCGTTCACCAAGCAAAATGATAAAGAGTTATACTTACCCCATATGTATTTCCATTGTGTGTAACCTGTTGTAACAGAAAAGTATATTGTTAATACAGGCACTGCGTAATTGTGTTGATATCAGCGCAATAGCTCGCATTCTGCTTGGGTTAGGTTAGGTGTTAAAAATATCAAATAAGCACCAATAGTCATATATGCATGTAATCTTACAATAATCGCCTCTGAATTAAAACGTCATGATGAAACCAATCTCTATTGCATTGTTTTAGAAGCCTGTCTCCAAGTTCAAAGCTGAAACGTACCTGCGAAAATTGTACTATTTGTGCCCTAGGTGGGACCTACAAACACTACAAGAGACTGAAACATAACATTTCCCACTGGGGACTTCTTCATCACTGGAAGTATTGTACAAGCAAAAAGCACGCTGCATTCCCTGTCTCAGATCTCCCTCCTCTAAGTAGATTGGATATAAAATCACTTACTTTCTATGTTTCTTCTTGCAAACTGGATCCAGGAGACGGAAAAGCCTCGGTGCTAAGAGATCCAGGCAGAATGGTCCTTTCTAAACACTATCCTTATTACTACATCCAGGAACAAAACGCATCTGCACTTGTATGCTCTTAAACTAATTTATGGTGGGAATTATATTTTAGCTTGTCAACTCTCAAGCCATAAAACAAAGTTTATTGGAATCACGTGCTTCCATCCAGCCACTCAGGACTCATCTCTGTGGAACCATAAATAACCATCAGCTTTAAACTTCTATTCACTAGATTGAGATTCCCAGAAGCCTCTAATAGTAACACAAAATAAAGGGGAGAAATCTCTCTTTTTAAAAAAGTGAAACTTCTGTTTTTCTTCCAGTTCATTGCAGTCACAGGCATGAGAGTAAGAGCTTATTTTACTGCAATGATTGTATTTCTCTGTATTTCAAACACATGCTATAGATAGAAAAGTATTTATTTAGAATGAAATGGTTAACTGGAAAAGGAATTATTAACACTTAATATTACTTTGCTAAAGCCCATTCTTTAATCCCCAGGAACATGAAATACCTTTGATGTTTCACTTTCTACCTCTTCTCCCATGTAACCTCTGCTCCCTTTGTTATTTATTTGTATTATTTTATTTCCATAAACAGATATATTTGTTAGTATCGAAGCAAGGGAGAGTCTCATTAGACGAGAAAGTATAAAAACACCTTCAGTAGTGTGTTACAAGCATAGTACAACAACACAAATACCTTACTATGTATCCTATGTGCCTCTGATCTCATCTGATTTACATAGTAACAACCTGTTTACAACCTAGAGCCCTAAAAGTGAGAAGATCTTTGAACTTTGGAGGCTGTG